TTTGCAATGATGGTGACGGTAAGTACGTTGGAGAAACAGGCCGGAAATTGTTAACCCGCCTACACGAACACAAACTAGCGGCTCGGAAAGCCGATTCAAACTGGCAGCTTGCAGCACACATCGGAGGGACTGGGCGCGACTTCGATATTCAAGGAGCAACCAGCGTAGGCCAAGGAACCCCAAAAGCCGAAAGATTGACGACTGAGGCATGGTACTCAGATGCCAAATCCGTCAACAGGCATCTAGACCTTCCCGCTGCCTACAAAATCTTAGGCCATTATGTGCGTAAAAAACGGAAAAAGGTCAAACCGAAAGTAAGGTTTGCAGGTGAAGAGGACTCCACCGCGAATCGGTCGGCAGAACTTCCAGGACCCTCTACCGAGGGGACAAGGTGCCACACTAATTGCAGTTTATGACCCCGGACTAATCCCGATTTCACTGACAACTAATTAGCGTGTTCCACCATAATTACCTACACCCCATCGTTTTTGATTGTTATTTTTTACCCCTTAACGAGCTGATAACCTCTGACAGTTTATTGGCCTATGAACACAATAACTACCCTCCTTTTGGTTGCTCCTTCTTATCGCTGCAAATAGACTCCTGTAAGAATTAGGATGCTCAGGGCAATAAAATATTTGATGCGATTCTCGACAAGTCTTCCTCCTTATTCATTAATTTGACATACCTTGATTTGGTCTACAAATCGGCTATTTCCATTGGCATTGGCTGTCGACCTTCAATCCGAGACGTTCAAGACTACTTTAACGGCCACGTCATTTTGGAGCAACGGTTACCCATGCATTAACGCCCTAGAGGGTTTCCAGTCATTGACAGTGGCAGGCTGCTTTGTTTACTTTAGCCTCGGCTCGACAACATCTTAGCGGTAGCGCACCTCAACTGAGCTGCATTGTGATTGCAGCACAGGTGATTTCAAAATACTGACAGAAAGTCCTGAAAGCTACAATTTGCACAGAAGGAATTACCAGGTCCGACCAGCTGGCCGTCCACGACCCATTAACGGATAGGAATCCGTGTAGGCTTGTGGACGTTGATGTGTGGCTAGTAGTTGCTCCAAAATTGACGAAAAGTTCGCGAGTTCAAGCCTCGAGCGGTGAGGCCCAAGAAAAAGAGGAAACGGTAGAAGTAAGTTCCGTTAACGGTCACTGAACGTTCATCATCATCATCCTCAGCAGCAGCAGCAGCATCATCATCAACATCGTCATCATCAGCCTCCTTGTCATCATCATCACCATCCTCCTCCTCCTCCTCCTTCTCCTCCTCCTCCTCCTCATCATCATCATCATCGCCATCATCCACATCATTATCAGCATCATCACATCAGCAAGGCCCTCACCCGCAGTATCCGACAGGGCTGCATTCCCCACTGGCACGTAGATGGCATTTCAAAATCACTCCTCACTCCAAATGGATCAGTTGTACAAAACCTTGGTACTAGCTTGTATTTTTATCTTTTCCTTTTAACTATTTATTCATGGCTTTCCAATGATAGACATTGTTTGTTACTAGCACGTTATTC